CTCGTGTAACAATTGCGGAGATGAATATATTGGCGAAACGGGCAGACCTTTGTGTATCCGTATAAAAGAACACCTAGACGGCAAACGAAAACTAAGACGAAGCACCCCACTAGGCACGCATAGGATACAAAAGCATAGCGGAGACGATTTTGAAGTAAAAGTCAATATCCTTGCACAGGAGTCCAAAACACCAGCGCGAAAACTCCTAGAGGCTTTTTGGATCAATGCCAAAAACCCTACAATGAATAGCAGGGACGAATGCCCGGAGGTCATACGCGACCTGATCCCGTATGTTCGCATCGATTTTTGATGTGGGATGGTGTAGTCGTCAACCACATGCGACTATAATCAGCTGTTCTAAACTTCCTCATTGGAAGTCACGAAAAAGCGGTGGGTTTTTCGAGAAGTTGTTGGTCATGTAATTACCGGAGAGTTCTTCGTCTTCTTGTAAGTGTTATTGAAGCGTTTGGCCTAGTAGATTGTATATCAGTATACCCTTCCAGGCTCTGAAGAAGGCGATACTGCCGAAACGTCAGCTAGCGTTGTATTGTATTGTGTTTTTATGGAAGTAAATGTATGCTGTTTAAAAACCTCGCGATTGCTGAACAAGAAAACGACACATTCATATTCCAATGCCGAGGTTAAGAGAAAGTCGATCCTGGGAACTAAATATAAGTCAATTTTAACCAGAGAGGACTTGTCCAAGTTATGGACTCGAATCCTGTCTAGCAAGCTGTGAACTAGGTTTACGGTAGCTCCCTAGGACTGTATAGATTCCGCGATTTCAGAAAAGAGCTACCGACAGGGATTTAGAGTATAAACCAGGCATTCATCCGTCTATAGAAAAACGGTAGTGAGGTGCTCTTGCGTACGTTGCCAAGGGACGTCGCATAACAATAATATAAATCTGACAGAAGGTGTAGGTTTGTAATTTCCACACTGTTTCGTCGTGTTTGTTGTCCAGAACGACAAAAATGTACAGAAACTAGTTCGCTTCCTTCAGTGATTGCATGCCCCTTTGGCTCTCTTCCTGGCGATGGACAATGGAAAAATCCCACAGCAGTGCTTCTCAGACCGCCTCACAACGAATGGTAAGGAAGAATGATAGAGCCTAAATGACCAAGAAAAACCACAGGACAAAGTTTGAAAGGTGTCTTAGGGTAACGTAATGATGAAGTCGTCCGAAGTACACTTCTTTTTGTTTAGCAACTCTCTTCTCTGGCATCTTTCCAATAGAAAAAACGTATCCAGGAAATCGTTGATTGTAAATGCACGCGCATGTCTGGTGCAATGCAAGGATGACGGACTGGAGATGAACAGCTGTTAACGATAACTGCCAAAAGGTGTTCAGCTAACTGATCTTAGCTAAATAATCATGAGGAATAGATTTCCATAGTCTAAGAGAAAGAGAAGAAATAAACAAACAAACAAACAAACAACATTAGAGGTCGTGAGAATTCGACGGCGACGATGTTGCCACTGTGCATGGAGCGAACGTGACAGCCGCATTAAGAGACGAATAAGAACCAGAGAAGCAGAATATATGGTCATTTTGCAGAGACGCAGACACGCCACACGCGAACAGCCATGCGCAATTGCGCATTCGGTTGGACGACGCGAAACAAAAGCTGAATGCATGAAATCGCGCATCTACGCAGATTAACCAGCACACGAATAGACATCTGATCACCACCACCGAGAGAATGAAGCTGAGTATTGACAGACAGAGAAGGCGGGAAAGAGACAGAGACGGAACACAGAAACAGAGAGAAAGACTCTCCTCGAACATTGAGAGAGCGCTCATCACTACTGGCTCATTTGGTTTAAGGAGGACGAAGACGTCGAGACGTCATCCGAATAAAAGTTTCGTAACAACTTCCTGTAAGCCGAAGAATTTAAACACATTTTGAGTGAGAATTCTTTGAGAACGACACGCACGACGAAAGAACGAATCCATTGTTACTACATAGACACAAATTACGAGAGCAGAGAAGGTAACTAAATCTTTAGAATGTAGAGAAAGAGAGAGACAGAGACAGAAACAGAGACAGAAAGAAACAGAGGTAGAGGTGAGGAGAGAAAGATCCTATGACTGGTAGATTATGACCAGCGCAGACGACGAAAAACCGTTTCGACGAATAAACTTCAGGTGTAATAAATGCTAACCACGCTCACGAAAGACCCGCCAAATAGCTGAGAATACTCGACATTAAGATATTAGGATACCATATCCTGAATAATCCAGCGCTCACAGGAAATTGTGAACTACGGTGTCTCTGACCTTTTCTATCTGCAACAAAAGCATAGTTTTTTGTTGTAAGACGAAATGAACCTTCTATTTTTCTTTATTTTTTTTTATTTTATTTGGTCCATCTTCACGTCTGCAGTGCGGATCTTTGCACTTCTCACATTCGAATCGCTTCCTCGCATCCACTGTCCACGAAGATCTTCCAACTTTTTTTACATTTAGTTGCGGTTGCTGCTTGAAGATTTTTCATTTCATCTAGAATGTCGTAGAATCCTGGTCGAGCAATTTTCCCTGGAGCCCTGAGACAGCTGGGCTGGAGCGTCCCCAATTGTATTGCAGCGAGTGATTTCTTTCACCTCACTTTATTTATGTTTTTATTTATTTCTTTTTGTTTATTTATTTCTTGCCCTACTTTTTTGATTCTAACAGTTTACTTTATGTTTTTAAATTGTTGAGCTCACAGAAGGTTGATAAACATTTTTGTCTCGGCTACCGTTTCGACGTCTTCGTCTTCATCAGAGCCGGTGATATTACTAACAGCCGATGATAGTAGAATTCTTCTACTTTGTATTAATCGAACAATGTGTGTCCTGATGAAATATTGGTTTCCATATCCCTACACCAATGTTTTACAAAAGAAACTCTACGTGTTTAATAGTGAAGGGCACTGTGAAGAATTTTGCTTTTTGCTGGATAGCATACTATTCTCCACCCTCTCCCCGCAGCGATACATGATAGTAGTGGACGAGAGCAAGATCTATTGTTGGATGGCGCATTGTAGCCTACATTAAGAATTTCTAGGGCTGAAAAGGACTCTTAAGCTTCGAAACAATGCAAAATTTCCACTTCGAAGTCCAGGAAAGCGTAAACCAATGTCGGAAATCGTTGCTGTACTGAAATAGACACAAATTTCAAGTTGGCAAGCCAGCTACCGGTCCACAAGAGCTGGTGTCTGCCAGCAATAACAAACTATGGAAGCTGAGCACAACTATTTGTGGAGTTCAGAATCCAGATCGTTCAACTTGTTTCCGAGGAACTTATGCTGTGAACTGCACGACTCATGAAGTCGAACCACTCAAGCGTGTAAGTAAGCCGAATTGATAAAACTTATCTTATCATTTTTAACCTGTTGTTTAACTGGCCCCATTTGTTGATTGCACTCTGTATCCCTAAGATAGAAGGTCTACATGGCACACCTAATTTTATTGCACTCTTGCTGATGACGTTGTTGACGACGCGGACACCTTTGTGAAGTAATGGGCGGAGACATGGACAGATGCACCTGCCCGAAGCGGAAACAATAAGTCAGACGTCGTTCTGTCAATGAGGCGGATGTAAATTCGGACAATTGGCGGACAAGCACACCAAGTTGGCTAAGAGTCGTACGCTCAACTAAATTGTAGCTGCATATAGCATGCGCACACGAAAAACGCGCTACCACATCTTTTTGTTTGGCCCAGAAACGAATTCCCGTCCTTTAATAAATCACTTGTAGCAATAGCATGTGAACATGTTAAGAAATGACACGAATTTAAACGTCGTGAAGCAGTGTCATGCGGTTGTGATCTCTAGTAAAATGCAGTGAAATCATATACTTCTAGCCATAGAAGTGTCTTCACATTCGATCTCATATGGTTTAATTGCCATGAACATTCAATGCCTGCGTTTTGGGTGACGTCAGAATGCTCCTAGATCATTTCCTATTGCAGAAAAACTACAAACTGTAGTTGAATCTTGCATAAAATTACTCCAGTGCACGATGTAAAGCAATAACAAATAATGGTGAATAAAATTAGTAATAAAAAAATCCATAAATCTGCTCAATAGTAAACACCATTGAGCTAAAAGCTGTGTAAGCCAATAAGGAATCGATTCTAAACACCAGATAGGATTCCGGTCAGAAGCAGAACAATGAGAAGATGGAAACTGTTCGAACGATAAGATCAGACGAAAAAAACTATTGATGTGGGTAAACAAAGCTTCGGTTAAAAAGTTCCATAGTTAAATCAAATCAAAATGTGTGAGCCATGACCAGATGTAGAAAGGGTTGAAGGTTTCATAGCGTTCGGTTTTCACCGGAATTCGCTCGTATCAGAGCCGTGAAAATCTATTCAATTGTCAAGAAACGACTTTTCGAATACTTTTCGATTGCCCGGTTCAACGGATGTCCCAGCAATTGCACATTTCAATCCCATTTAGCCAACTGAACACAAAAATTGAACCAATAAAGTCTATATTAGATAAAAAGCCATCTCAATCACTACACATCAATCACGTCAGCCATATTGGCCAGGAAAATTCACTTACTCATTGATGAAACTTCTGTTAGAACCTGACTATCTAGCAGAATTTTGTAGTAGAGGCAGCAGCAGATTTCCCAGTGGCTGTCAATATTTGACAAACCAGTAATCCATACGGGAAAAAAGTTGTTTGAAAGAGGCCTTTAGAGTTCTCAGTTTAGTTGTTGCCTTTAAAGAAAAATAAATGTAGCTATTGCAACTGAGTCAGCAATAATTTATAATAAAATGGTTCCATTCGAGTTTCTAAGAAATCCCGATCAATTCTATTACACGAGCGATTTTTGAAAAACAAAATCAAAGTGAAATCCTTTCGATTCGGGCGGAAGATTCAGGCCAAACTCTGGTTAAAAGCAATTTATAAAGTCCATTTGCGTTCAAATGACCGCATACATACATTTCCATCAACGTCCTCAATTCATACTGAGGGTCATCACGTAACTAGTCTTAAAAGGACGGACCATCATAGCTGCACTTATTTAAAAGGACCATCTAGTCGCCCTCGTCTTACTTATGCATCAGATTTATCCATCGAATTTCATCAATGCATCACGACTCTCAATGAGAAACAGAAGCACTTCATTATAACTACTACCGTATTCAATGACTAGACGGTGAGCTCTCTGGTGTCCATCCTTTAAGTGATTTAGGCCCTTTGTGTTAATCGCCGCTCGACACGCAACGTGTTTCCGTCTGTATTTCGTGTTGATCGTCCATACAACGGAAATTGCATACGGGACCAAAACAGATGAACGGATAAACGGATAACTCGTCCCAAATCGCCGAGTAGATCAATGGCCTTCGAAAATCAATCGCGAATAAAATTCTGATCATATCATATCTCGAATACTTTTTTCATTAGCCAAATATTAATAAAGACAGATAGGTAAATCTAGAGCATTACTTTAAGAAAATAAAAAACCACATATTATTCATTTAATAGAGCCGCTCTGATTTTAACAGGCCATCGAGATAATGTAAGCTGTAGAGAAAAAAGCTTAAGGAAAGCTTAACTAAAATGTGAAGCGATTTCCTCGTCGATATGTTTCTTATTCATTTGAACACTATAGTGAACGTAGTGGGTAGCGGGGTTATCATTCTTCGAGACACAATATCTAAGGTTCGATCTCCCATCAAAACTCCCAGTCCAACAACTTTTCATCCTCAATGAGTAGAGCCGATGACTCAGTAACCATATCTTCTATGACCAGATATTGCTCTATTCATGATCAGCTGAGCTTGAAACTTCATGACCATTTACTTTGAAGATTGTGACACTTATAAAACAACTGAGTATTTTACTAGATAACAAGTGAATGTTCATCATCAGGTGGCACCTACAGATTTCAGCGCTTTCAGACGGAAATCGCAAATTTACCACAGTTGCATTGCTTTCACCCATCTCAATGGAATTGTTGCGATGGAGTGGTGATCTATCATCTGCTGGGATGACATCCACAATCGATGAGCATGATGGATTGCCTCCTCGTGACAACTCTCATCAAGCCCTCCGGGGTGTAATGGGTAGATCTCAAATTCAAACTGCATCTCCACTAGACATTGAAGATTTTTCCAACCAAAAGGCCTTCAGCTGTTTTCTAAGTGTCAATACCTAAGTGTCATGAACCGGGAAAAATCAAATTACATCTCTCTTGCCTAGGGTGCAGTTTGCTTGGAACACAGGTTGTGAATATGAGAATCTTTATAATCCACGGAGTCACGTTTCGTGTCACCTTTTCTAAGATTTGGTTATCGTTTGTTGAATAGAGCAATATTTGCTTACTACGATAGGACAGAATTATTGAATATAGCATTCTCATCTCAGTGGAAAGGTAAAGTTTGTTCAACGAGGTCGGATTTGTTTCAGTACTACTTGTTTCCACAAAAAATGAAATGGATTGTCGATTACTCCAGGCTTTTACCGTAGCTTTTGTAGAATGCTGGATATCTCTTGATATGATAAATTCAATGATATGATATTCTATATCATGTACAGTGACGGTTAAAAACACTGAAAAAGAGCTCAATAAACGATTCTCCTATAACACAGCAAGAGCACTCTTTCATGATGACAGCGATGGAGAAAGCTAGTAATGATGTTCGTGGCGTCGTTGGAGATCATGGAATAGCGTAGATGAGCTCTTCACGAAACTTTGACACTCAGTAGAGGTGAATACTGATTGTTGTTGGTGTTTGTAGGAGTTAGTGGATTACGAGAAATGAAACAACTAAGCCAATAGTAGAGTACGGTAGAAGCAGATGGTATAATCGACCGTTGATAGGAGATAATTAGGAATCTCAGCCTCAGAAGAAGCTCTATGTGTAGACTAATGAGAGGATTACTGGAAAAGTCCAGACGAAGCTTACTTAATCTGTAAGTATTAGGGTATCAAAGCCGATTTGTCGCTATTTGAGAAAAATCAATAGGAGTGCAAAAATCAGTCATATAAAATAAATAATACAACGTTTCATCAACTCAAAGAACGAAAGAATCGAATCTTTATCTTGTTTTCTATACAAGAAGCGGTCATTAAGTTCATAGAAGCAATGCCAAACAAAAGTCGACTAGATCTTTCTAACCTATCAATAGCAGCTTGCTTTATTCTTTTCTCTAAAATTGTTGCAATTAAATATGAAAAGTTTTCTTTAAATTGCTTCTTTCCGGTAACACTTACTTAAATACTCGAATGGCATACATTCACGAATAATCAAAGGAGCTTCATCAAATTTTCTACTGGGCGATAGTTGAATAGGAATTACTTCTGTGGAAGCTCGAAATAACTGTACCAAGTAGTTAAAAAGTTGTCGCCACAAACAGCTGCCAGTAAATTTCGATCAGAAGGAGATTTGCCGTCATATGAATGCCTTGCTATGAATACCAAGGTGACGGTGATTGGCGTTTCTGGTTCACTCCTAGCCAGTATTCTGAGTGTAAATGTTGAGCTCTTTAGTTTGAGAGAATCAGATGACTCGGGGGAATGACATCAAACAGACATCGTAGTTAAATACCTAAGAACGTCTTCTATTTCGGAGAGTGGTAAAGCACAAGAGAGTTTTCCGAGAAGGTGGAAATAAAATCACAAAATCAATAATTAAAACATTAAAAGGAGCTAGGTGGTAAGCAGCAAGCCTGTGTGTGTTTAGAATTGTGGATTTGAAGGCGGAAAAACGATAAGGAAGGCGGACAAAAAAAGATCACTTGATTCATCCGGAAACACCTACGGAATGTCGAAGACGACAATATCACACAGACTTCGAGATGAGTGCCGACGCTCACCACAGCAACAAATCATCGCCGCCGCGACGATGTGAATCGAACTGACACTTCTCCGTTATCAATAATGGCGATGTTTCCGATTAGACTAGACAAAATACGTTTAAGAACCTAGCATCATTGCGGTTGTATTTCGCACTATACCCTGCCGTGGAAAAATAGTAGAGAATAGATTTTAAAAAATGTGATTTCGACTACAGCCCCAGCTTGAGTGAGTTTAATTCCAATTTGTACTTTCCAAAGCACTTCCGTTTGAGGATGACTGCTGATGGATCCGTTAAGGTAAAAAACTGGCCGAGAGAAAGGCAAAGCATAGGCTTCAATGTTGCTTTGGGTAACAGGTGAGCGCCCGGAAAGGATAATCACGGGTTCAAATCTGAACTGAGCTCCGAGTTTTGTAAATGACTCAGCATTATTGTGGTTGTATTTCGTATTATGCACTGCCGGAAAAAATAATGGGCACTAAACAAGAAGTGAATACCTAAGTTTTCACTGATTACTTTTCTTAAAGTTTTTAAATATTAATATCTTTCCTGTAAGGAAACATTTCATTGGGGAACACAACGAAAATAGCGACAAGATTCCAAAGACTTCACCAATAACGCTGATCGGAGCTCCTGATTTCAGATGTAGCAAACAACTCCTATGTGAACTTCGTAAGATCTTTGCGGTGATACATTTATTCTTTCCATTGTCATTTTATTTACGGTTGACTGAAAAAATCTAGGTTGTAGGCGACAATGAGCTCAGAGAGAAAAAGCTTTGGAAACAGTAGAACAATAAATTAAACCGCTAAATTGAAAAAAAAAAACAAGCACAACATACAAATAGATTAAAGAATGCTATGTCCGCCGAATTCTTCACGGAAGTTCTTTCCTTTTCGTCACCTTCACTCAACTAAGAGAACTGTGGGAAGCGCGATAACAGAATTAGCATAATTTCTATGATTACTTACACAATTTTAGAAAAATAAACAAAATCGAAGCTCTTGAAGTCTTCCTTAAATTAGAAGTCCTTTTCCAGACTGGACCACTTAACAGTAGCCCAAATAGTATTTGCATAAATTGATGTGCTGATGGCAAAACACTAGAGAAATTTCCATAAACAAGCGCCTCGTTAACGAACGACGCTAAGGTCAAGGACGGTTAGAGAGAATTGGGAAAATGACGTCAACACCCACATAACACACGGTATGGGCAATGACATCTCCCAATTAGAGAAAAAAAATATGGTACTCAATCTGGGTTCGAAGCACGGCCAAACACGTAGACGGAAATAGTTGTTTGCTTTTTGGGTTCATCCTGTTCTCCAGATCTTTTTCACGATTCACCGAACACGAGCAGCTCTTCCTTATATTCAATTCAATGGTTCATGTTCACATCATGGCAATAGGGTATGCTGGGGGCAAACTAAGAAACACAGCGTTGATTCATTTCATATGATGATCACGAAAGCCAACGACAAGTTCTATATGCCATTCGAAAGCTCAACTAGAAGTAAAGAAAGATTAGAACTTGCTGCAGCACTGAAAGAGGTACAGTAGCACAACGAAAAGCCGTTATTTGGATCTACAACGGTCTCCGCTTACCTGGAATGATGAGATGGAAACCTCAGAACTGGAATATCTAGGAACTTCCGAATTGAAATTTTTTCCAAACAGGAAATCAGCGATCAAATCGAATTTGCACTGGGATCTATACGATCCTTGAACGAGAGTCATTCAATTATCTAAGTTTCTATTGCTATTGTATTTCAGGAGGAGTTAATTTGGCCTAATTTAACCATAGTTATTTAACCTGCGAACCAGAAAAAAATTTAAAAATTTAGTGTAAAATTTAATCTTCCCCACCCCAGGTCACGTCATGAGATAATATCGTTAGGAAAAATGCTTGACAATCAACGCAAAGGCGAAGAGACAAGCCAGAAAGCAGAAAAGCACGCTACGAACAACGAACGCTAACTTTTCGGTGATATAAAAACATATCGTACGGTTATCTTATTTGCCTTTAATTTGTCATTTTTTCAGTTATATTGGCCCCATATCCATGTGTTTATCAGCCAATTAACAAAGAAAAAAAGCCCTGGACAATGAGATTCCTGCAGATTCCCTGACTGCAAAAAGGAAGAAAATGAAGGAAATGGTTGCAGCTGTCCCATTAAACCTCTTACCACATTCTTCCACCCAAGAATTACACTCTAAACTACTACCACTAACACTACTTACTCACTACACAATACTGTGAATTACTTTACACTCTAACACATCTTTACCTTTTGTTTAGTGGCTTATTTTTATTTTGCACAACCCGTCCTCATATCTACCTTGCGGATTCCAGCTCTTCCTATATTCGATTCGTTTCCACGCATCCACCATCCAGGAAGGTCCTCGAACTTTTCGCATGTTGTTTCGGCCGTCGATTGAGGATTTTATCTTTTTTATGAAGGTCGTTACATGTTGCTCGAGTTGATTGTCCCTAGAGTCTGCGGGTGGCCGCGCTAGAGCGTTACCACTTGGATTAGAGAGAGTGAACTGTTCCCAGAAAAGTCCAATACCAAATTCATAACCTTTGAGTGATGAGAGACTTGACGAACCCGACGCAAAGCAGAATCAACACCCTGCTTATCGTGAACGGCGTCACTACCACTGCCCTGCTAGCCCCATCAGCTTTACCGTCCTGAATATGTATATGTATATATATGTAATTATATTATATTATATATATATAACCACAACGATTCTAAGATATCTGCAAAATCCCGGACCGCAGATGTATGTGGTGGAAACGAACGCGCTACTAGTCTTTCCTGGTGCTAACGCGTTCAACACCACACTATGGGTGTCCTAGTTTCCCCTTTCTCTCAGCTAGTTTTTTATCTACCAGTGCCACCAGCAAACATCCGTCAACAAAACTGATGAGAGAAAGGTGAAACGAAGAATTCGCATGATATGGGGCCAATGCGTTAACCACCGGAAAGGATAATAGCGCGTTCGTTCCAACCACACAACCTCTGGAGTTTTGCAGATATCAGAACCAAAAAATATAATACCAAAGAGCACCACTGTGGCTCTATCACATGTAACAAGCGGCCGTGAAAAATTGTAATAGGCAGCTAATAAAAATTTAACATTGTGATTTCGTCAACAGCCTCAGCTTAACTGGATTCATTGCCGATTTGCGCTCTTCAGATCAATCCTGTTGAGAGGGATTGCCGATGACAGTGCTAGATAGAATACTAGCTGAGGGCAGGCGAAATGAAGGATCCACATGGTGTGATGGTGAACACGTTATCCCCCGGAAAGGGTAATAGCGCGTTCGTTCCCCACCGCAGACACTTACGGTCTGGAGTTTTTTTGCAAATATCTCAGCATTGTAGTGGTTATATTTCGCAAAATACCCTGCCGTTAAAAAGAATAGGCAGTAAATAAAAAGGTTAAGATTGTGATTGTAACTATAGCTTCAGCTTAACTGGGTTCAATGCCGGTTTGGACTCCCCAGATCAATCCCGTTGACGGGTGAATGCTGATGGCAAAAGATCGACAGAACTAGCTGAGAGACAGACGAAACGAAGGACCCGCATGGTGTGGTGGTGAACGTGTTACTCCCCGGTAAGGACAATAGCGCGTTCGTTCCCCACCGCAGGTGTCTGCGGTGGGGAACGAAGTTTTGCAATTGTTTCAGCATTATAGTAGTTATATATATATATATATATATATATATATATATTTCAACGAGAGTTACTAAGAGTGTCTTCTAGGATTTTTCAACGCCTTTTCTAAAACTATACAGCTTTAATGGAATACATAACTAAAACGTGATTATCGCAGCACATTTTCACATTGTGGCTAATCGCCATTTGGTTAACACTATTCGGATTTTTCTTGGAATTTATTAAACATGATCAGCTGCTCCTTATTACTGTTGTGGACCACCCCAGTGATTAACGCTTTCATTGTGGCAAGAAAGTGTTTCGGGTGACGAACTGAATAACATAGGGAGAGTTCATTACCGTGATTATCATTCAAACCGACGACAAGTTTTAAACACAACCATTCCGAAGCTCAAAGCAGACCTGGAAGCATCTTGAAAAAATTTTTATCGCTGAAGCATTTTGGTCGAGTGGTTGACGTAAGTGAACCAGTAGTAATCTCTAATATCACAGTAATTCAGAGAATCCTTACTGTGCGGTAGTTCGCAAACATTGACATGAGTTTTTTTGCCTCAGTCGATGAGAACTTCAGACGTAGCAAATCATTCGATAGCCTAGGCTCATTAAACGATTCCTGATAAGCACACGGCTCTGTAGGACATTCAAGCGTGCTTCGACGGAAAGTATGGCAAATGGTAGGAATGTGAATTTTTCCAAGTAGCTTTTGAATGGGTGGGTTGAAAATCTTCGCTTCCTTCCCAACTGAACGAGTACAGTTTTAGTAAGATCACAGACCATTACGACTTCAGAACAGACTCACCACTTCTCGCCCATGGCCTCTTCGTCGCTGTCAGCGTCATCGGTCATCTCCAAGTCGCCTAAGTCATCTTCAAATTCCCTCATTATGAGAACCTGAAAAAAACATAAGCACAAACATGTGGCTAGAAGAAACAAACTATGCGATGAAATTTTCACAAAGCACAGTTAGAGATGAAAGCAAAAATTCAGAAAGTGAATTTATGCTACAGACACTACTACTGAAAAACAAATTAGAGGTACTTCAAAATGTAGAAATGACGAAAATGACAAAAAAACATCGTAAGTTGGTCCTACGCCGACAGGAATACTGTAGTTGGTAGCCACAGTTGTCAAATCCCGTCAAAATCGCTAGAGGATAGACGCATTCGTGAGCAATTCAGAAATAATTTCGATTTTTTCCTAAGAAATGTAGGCATAGAGTGTGAAAAATAAATTGCACAGAAATTAATTGAAGCCTTCGTTTAACGATTCTATGCAATCGCAATGTCATGAAAAAGAACACAGAGGAAGAATAAGAGGAGTATCTCTTAATAACTCGAAAGACCGAGTTTCTATAAACGTTGGCACAGATAGTTGATATATTTATTTATATGGTCTTGTAAATTGATCTTTAGCTGATGCGAGGTTGGCATACGTGTCTGGGAGTCCCACTTGTAACTGCATGACTCTGAGAAAGGCGAAATCGCCGAGACATCAGCCCTCGACCAACAAGAACAACGGCAACAACAACACCAACGACTACGACAACGAAAACCTATAGCAACTTCACATCAGCTAAAAAAGATCGGCTTACAAGATCATATAAATAAGTAAGAGTGGTAGGATGGTGTAGTGGTGAAGTGGTGTACCGGATGGCCCGGATGGTGTAGTGGTGAAGTGCGCTGCTCCCCGGTAAGGACAACAGCGTGTGTTCGTTCTCCACTGCATACACCTGTGGTCCGGAGTTTTGCAGGTATCTCAGCACTTCATACGAGTTATATTTCACAACATACCCTGCCATTAAGAAGAAAAAGGCAGTAAATAAAAGAGTTAAGATTAAGTAAAAGGAGTGTTCATTTAAAATATAATAAAATATTGAAAGACTCGAAAAATAAACCAATTTTACAGAGTGTGAAGTATTTCTATTTAAAAACACCTTTCTCCAAAGATTTTCAACCCGACATAAAAATATGATCGCCCCTTTTGCTACGATCGGCTGAATTCATAACGAAAAGCAAAACGTACGAAGAATTCGTCCGAAGTGGAGGAATATCGAACAAAAACATCAGCGAAATCAAAGATATCTGAAAGTGGAAATAACCGGTCAGGTATATTGGAATGTTTTTCCATTTTTTTCCAAAAAACTTTCCTATAAAGAAAAATAGAGAAAAATTTCTAAAAAGTGGCAACTTCCAGAATTTGTGGGAAATACTACAATATGTGCCAGCAAGACATTTCCGACTTCTATAAAGGGGGACAAAATCTGGTGAGTACCTCAATTTCTTCCTGATTCTTCTAAGAAATTCAGATAGTATCATATTTCAAATGAGCTGAGTAAAATAGTAGATTAAATTTCAGGAAAATCCTAAGACCGAATTTCTCTTAACCTCAGCATTGATCAATAGTCCACTGTTTTCCTCGATTAGGAAACACGCTGTTATTACAGCATTTATTAACCCAAAATAGTTGACGTTTCGACGGTTTCGCGTTCTTCAGGTCCTGGAAAGCAAAAATTCGGTAACAGTAATTGAAATACGATCGGACACCTCAGATGCCAGATTGTTCGTAATTGCCTATGTGAACGTCAACGCAAATCGAAAACCTGACGGAAAAGACGGTGATTTCGTGGGTTCGGGTACGGGTACTGACTAGACGCTCATCGGACACGGAGACATAACGGGGAAGATTTTGAAGAAGAAGTTACCATCCTCGCAGAGGAATCCAAAACGCGTAAAACTCTTAGAGCGTCTTGAAATTTCAAAAATCGAGAAGTAAACAACGAGAGGGACTGCTTTGTGATCACGGATGACCCAGCTCCATACCTCGGGATGATTTTTTGACCTGACCAAGGCACATTCCTCGCTGATATTGGGTTCTGAGCGGCTGGTCTCCACCAAATAATTGGAAGACTTTTAGAGAAGAAAACGGTGATTAACAACAACCGTACTCTATAAAAGAGTATGAACTGGTGAGATGGCCTCATTCAAGTGGTGGTCTCTCCACTGAAGAAGATCCGGCTCGGTACGATGACTAAGACACCACATCAAGAAGATGAACGACAGCGGAATATTAACTCAGATTCCCAAGACCGACTTTCCGTTAACCTCGGCATTGACTGATAATTCGATGTATTTCAATAAGCAGACACGAGGTTGTTATTATAGAATTTATTAGGATACAATAGCTGACGTTTCGGTGGTTTCGCCTGTTCTCATCCATCCACTCTCTGCGGCTGCTATCCAACAACTAGCTTAAATACTTACAACAAATAAACGGCTCTGAAGAAGGCGAAACCGCCGAAAAGTCAGCTATTGTATCCTAATAAATTCTATGATAACAATCTCGTGTCTGCTTATTGAAGAAAAACATCGAATTAACTCAGATTATCGGCTCTGAGAAAGATGAAGACGCCGAAACGTTAGCGAAATAATGTCCTCTATCAACTTCATGTTAACTTATCGATGAAGCTTCCGAGGCTAAAAGGAGGTCAGTTTTTGAAAAATGGTGCGTGCTTAAAAGAAGCTACTAACTACGTAAATGGAAATTTCTGTGTGAAAGTGCTTGGCTGAGCAGATTGTATGTCAATTTGAGTTTTCCAGGCTCTGGAGAAGGCGACACCGTCAAAACGTCAGCTATGTGCATTACTTACTTGGATACTTAGACCGTCCGTCCTCACTGGTTGTTCGGGCTCTCTCATATTCTCCATTTTTCGGAGTTTTCTGATTTAGCCATTGTGGTTCTCTGGAGCCCCGATGTCAGCCTGACCAAAGTATGCCCAACGGCTGACCGCCTCGTTGTGGCTGGGAGGTGTTCTTGGTTGTCGGACTGCGATGTACAGCGGGTTGATTCGTGCCCCCCACTGAGTCTCCCAAGCTGCGGAGTCCGGCATTTCCATCAGGAAACCTAGCCAAGAGTAAACCAATACCAGTATCCACCACCGTCTTGGTGTCAAAGTCGCCTGGTGGCAAATCTCACTGTGATCCACAAAGGCTGCGATTACCTGTGGTGGTGAGGACCTGGGGTAGACTTTGGCCAGGTTGACCTCGGCATTCCAGGAAACCACACACAATGACTTAACCAGTAAATCTCCAAAAAATGGTGATTATGCTGGAGCCCGCACAACTAGTGAGGACGGATCGTTCGTGTCAAGTATCGAGTAAAGTATAAATATACTCAGCCAGACTTAATATTTATAAGATTAGCACAAAGTGCAGCATCCAAACATATTAAACACATGAGCGGTTCAAAAACTTAAAATACACATTAAGCACGTCAGATAATTCAACGAGGTTTCGTACACTGGAGTGTCGTAGGAAAGTAACTGCTTCTTATGTTGTGTCGTAGTTGCAAAGTAACCGGTCCAATAAAATGTTTGCTTTAGCCAAAAATATTTAGCTGTTAGGAGATTGGCGACGTGTAGAACGTTCGAAAACATTAAAGGAAAGCAATCATATTAAATATTCGATCCAGAGAATAGGAATGGTAGAATGGTGCTGTCACATTAGAAATTCAGCACAGACCTTCCCAAGTGTTACCGTATCATCCGATGAGAATTGTCGTTTGATCGTGGAAAAACGACTTAAGGAGCAACATGAGACGTCATTTTTCGTTATAAAACGTTTCAGATGAGATTGGTAACACCAACTCAGTTTAGCAATGAAGTCACCATTTGCGTTCGAGATAGCTAACGGGTTGACGACCTCGTCGGCCACTCATCATCGGCCCTCGCCGTCGATCCTGGGCCGCTCCGTCGCCCCTCGGGACGCTACAGGCCGACGACGACAATATGGCGGTATGGCTAATCACGTTCCGAGCGATTCCACGTCATTATACGAACACATGGACAGCTCTGATTGAGCGCTAACGGAACGAATTTAACGCCGTACGTCCGATAAACGCAACCAATATTCGGAGCAACGAAGTCGATTTGTTGCGGTGAAAGAAATTCGGGAAAAAGTCGAGAAAAATTGGATTCAAAAAGTAGCCAACTACTCTTTAGATCTTAAAAAAAGCACGAAAAACATTATAAAGATGGTAGTAATGAAATCTAAAGCTTCTCAGCTGGCCAGAATGTTATGGACTTGGTGAAGAAGTAACACTAAGCACTAATGCGACCGAACCGACAAGAATGATGACTTAAGGTCAGAATTAAATGCACAGTGAAAAATTTAAGTTTTATTAGATTTGAAAAGACGTAGAAACTTTGGCGCATTTCACAGTTCCTTCTACTTATTTCTCTCTTGGAACAAATTGATGTCGACTGACTATGGGTTTCACCACGATTACATTGCTCACGAAACGACAAGAATAGAGGCATAAGCATCACAGCACTGGTTAAGTAAGAAGTTTCACATTTGTTTGTTTGTTTATGTATATATATATATATGTATGTATATATATGTATATATATGTACATATATATGTCTATGTGTGTGTGTCCTTGTATATGAGTGTATGCACGTGCTTATACATCTATGCGTACCCGTATCTCTATGTCTAGGAGAGTCTGCGATCTACCATTATTCTGGTCGGTTGTTCATGAAATATATGCCACTCTGGTTAGCAAATATTACTGTTGCTCATAATAATTTCATCAACTCGATAATAATCCTGAACTCGCTTGCTCTGTGTTTAGGAGGGGTCATCAGGGTTCGGTGCATTTCAAATAAGTGGTTTCTATGGTATTGAAAAGCTTTGCTGGGTAATGATGGCCCCAGAGAGTAGCGGAACACAAACGGCACAGCCGACCAGGGCTTTTGTTAGGATGAATGAGACGTGAATGATTCTTCTTGCTTGCCACTGGAATTGTTCACCGACCAATAACGCCGAGGAAAATTTGACAGAAGAAGTGATAATGAAGGATGTTCCCTATTAAAATACACAAAATCACTTACAAAAAAAAGCACTGATTGAAAAAGGTTCTTAGGAAGCATTTGCACGACTGCGAAAAAAAGCCTATCACGATCGACGTGTACGCTGGACTCACTCAATGAACGAATGACCATCGTCCGACAGCGAGAAAATCACTGAGAGAAGTGAAAAACTGAGTGCTGATGCAGTAAAATGAGAAGAAACAACTCGATCGAAAGTCGTACTTTGCATGATCGCGTGCTGTGACCATCGCCACCCTACTTCGACAACAAAGGCCGCCGACCATGTAGATCACAGCGCGTGGGAATCGTACTCAGTCGATCGACGTGATCTTAGCCTGATTGGGACAAAAGTAGTTCATACTTTTGTTGACTACTAACTCTATAATAATCATTTTACTGCGTCTACTGAAATTAGTCGGAAGTTTTTTTTGCATTAGTTAAAAACAAAAAAGGTTGATTAAAAAATCATCACCATCACCGTCAGCTTATTTTTAAAATCTAACGGATGAAAATAAAAGCAAAAAAACGCAGGGAAGAAATTCGAAAATCAATACAGACGACGGAACCACTACTTTGGAGGAAACGACTAAAATTCGTTTGTGAAGAACACATAGATACATACCGACGCTGAATGCAGCACAATGTGAGTTATATATGCCTCATAGGCGACACTTTGTCGTCGCCAATACCACATAGCTGTGTCGGCGCACATGCGCACTATAGTATTACTGTGATTGATTTACTCCTGAAGCTATAGCTTATTACAAAATTTGGGTTTAAGAGACCTGAAAAATACTATTTTTCCCAGGATCGACTTTCTCTTAACCTCGGCATTGAAATATGAGTGAGTCGTTTTCTTGTTCAGCAATCGCGATTTGTTAAACAGCATACATACATTACTTCCATAGAGAAACACAATACAATACAATACAATAGTAGCTGACGTTTCGGCAGTATCGCCTTTTTCAGTAAACATAGCGGAGACGATTTTGAAGTAAAAGTCAATATCCTTGCAGAGGAGACTAAAACACCAGCGTGAAAACTTCTTGAGGCTTTTTGGATAAATGCCAAAAACCCTACAATGATTAGCAGGGATGAATGCCCAGAGGTCATACGCGACCTGACTCCGTATGTTCGCATCAATTTCTGATGTGGGATGGTGCAGTCACCAACCATATGAGGCTATAATCAGCCGTTCTAATCTTCCTCATTGGAAGTCACGTAAAAAAAAGCGGTGAGTTGTTCGAGAAGCTGTTGATCATGTAATTACCGTAGAATTTCTCGTATTTCTGTGTTATTGAAGCGTTTGGCCTGGTAAATTGCATATCACTATACTCTTCCAGGTCCTGAAGAAGGCGATACCGCCGAAACGTCAGCTCCTGTTGTATTGTACTGTGTTTCTCTATGGAAGTGAACGAATACTATCTTTGTCGAGATTTTTCCCGAGTTGAATCTACTTTTTGTTTCGCAATTTTAGGGTTCCTAGGTTTATCGATCGGAGATTAGACACATGGGAAGCCTTTAAAATGGAATAAAGCACCTCAAGAGTTACCTTGTACTGTGATGTTTACAACGGCAAATAATTGCTTACAAAACGATTTTTCCTAAGAAAATTTCGAAATTATACATAAGTCAAACTGAACGGAAAAATCCGGAAGAATCAGTCGAAATTCCTGAACTTCGGAGTTATCACCAAATTTTTATGACGTTCGCTTATCATTTTATCTTTGTTTTATTTGTTTATCGATGTCATAGCAACGTGATTAATCGTCTCCATTAACATTTCCGATCCATGCTTCAAATATAACAAAGCATTGATTCTGAATAAAAGGCTTTTTGAAAGATTGAAAACGCAGGCTTTTTCCCAAACGTAACCCTTTTTTGTTAGGAGGTTTCATTTTGTTGAGCCGAAGCGTTTGCTAACCCACGGACGCCAGTTAAGAACCTCTCAATGATTTCACGGTAACTTTCTTCCCCATACATAACTGGAGTTCTGTAAGAATATGGAGCAATATAACAGAAAATGGACAAATGAGTGAAGTATTTCGTTAAAAAACAAAGGCCAAAACACCGTAGGTGCTCGCCAGAGGAATCCAAGAGAGAAGCGCTGAAGAAAATCAGTTTCTGCTTAGAATCGGAAGCGGCCTAACCACGAGACTCATCCGCTTCGCATCGGCAGTGCGAACAATGTCGGAAAAGCGAGCAATCAGGAGCTAGTCAATAAGTGTCTTGCTGCCATGACGAGCTGAAGTGATGATGAGAACCAGAGGTGACCACCACTAAGATTCGCCTTGGCTCATTCCCCAGACAGTTTCATTTGCCTCGCTGCTTTCAGTTCAAGGTGATCAGTTAAGGCTTAGACAGCGACCGCCACAACGAATTAGACAAGCAAGGGAGGTAATTGTTAGTCAGATTTCAACTAAGCCTATTGCCCAGATGGCTTACTTGGCGTCGGTGCGTCGTTCAGCTCAGAATGATCATCTATGGTTTACGCATAGAGCGCTATAGAAAATTAACTGCGAAACAGAAATGATGATTACTAAGATTCACTTAAAACTATTCTCCAAACGGCTTCGCTGGCTTAGAGATGTTAGTTCGACTTAAGGTGATCGCCTCTGGCCCAGGCTTATTATACATGCAGCGTCATAGCGAACTAGACAAATGGCTTTAGCAAGACATGCTAAAATAGGCAGTACCTGACTTATCGGAAGCTTTTAGCTTAAGCGCTGTGCAAAATAGTCATCACTTTTAATGTAGATGGGATTTAACTGTGAAATTAGTTACAACCCTTTAAAAGAAATTTCTAACATCCTGTAAAGACCGATATACAAAA